GGTGCCTCGTGGATCTGTTTCTATCATCAGTCATTTCTATAGGTTTTCATTTATATTCTCTTCCTGTGCCTTTTATGGTGTGCCATATTTTTTATTTATAGCAATAACTTGAAGCCTAGAAAGATTTTCTCTTTTCTCACTGAAGATTAGCACTGCATTTGCCATGCATCTGGGACATATGCAGTCTGGAGTCACCCTACAAATTTTAGGGATTGAGATCATTTGAATTTGAGCTGAAATCTCTGCGAGGACCTGTCTTAATTCTGGGCCACCCTAACTCTGAGGGTGCAGTCCTTAGGACCCCAAACCAAAGTGAAGATTAAATTCACATATTCATAGATTCCCTCACTCGCCCATCATCTGTGCATTCGTCTGTTCATTCAAATGAAAAATACAAATCAGCGAATCTGTCCAGATGTCTGTACATCTCTCCTCTCTCTCTCTCTCTTGCTTATCTATTTATGCATTCATTTGTTAACACAATCAGGTGTACATTAATCCATGCATAAATTTATTCATTCATTCATTAGCCCAGCCATTGGACTAGTTGGCAAAATATCTGTGCCAGGCACTGTTTAGGTGGTTGGGACACATCCTGGAACAAAACCAAGTCCCTTCCTTCACAGAGCTCACACTGTGGTGGGAGGAGATGGACAGTCAATCACATGATGTGTGCCACGGAAAACGTAAAAAGTAGGGCAGGGGAAAGGGCCTGGGTTACTAGAGTGGGCAGGGCTGGGTTGTGATTTTAAGAAGTGTGCCAGGGCGGGCCTCACTGAGAAGGTGATGTGCGAGGAAACCCTTGCGGGAGGGCGTGAGGGCTGTGAGTCTGAGGAGCTTCCAGACAGCGGGACTGGCCAGCAAGCACAAGGCCCTGGGGGGGGGTGGGGACAAGGAAGGAAGCAAGCCTGTGCCTGCAGGGGAGTGAGGGAGGGAGCAGGTGTGGGAGTGGCAGCATTTGGGGGTTGATAAGGAAGAGGACGAGGAGCTGGAAGTGCACACAAGGTGCTCTGTCCTGGCAGCACTTGGACAGGTGTGCAGGCAGGGGGCTTGGTACCCAGGAGATGTTGCTTGGCAGCAAGACAGGGAGTCAGAGAGCTCCCAGGGGCAGCAGCAGCGGGGCTTTGATAGTCCCAGGCGCACAAGGCCCTGGGGGGGGGGGGGGACAAGGAAGGAAGCAAGCCTGTGCCTGCAGGGGAGTGAGGGAGGGAGCAGGTGTGGGAGTGGCAGCATTTGGGGGTTGATAAGGAAGAGGACGAGGAGCTGGAAGTGCACACAAGGTGCTCTGTCCTGGCAGCACTTGGACAGGTGTGCAGGCAGGGGGCTTGGTACCCAGGAGATGTTGCTTGGCAGCAAGACAGGGAGTCAGAGAGCTCCCAGGGGCAGCAGCAGCGGGGCTTTGATAGTCCCAGGCTTTGTCTTCTTTATGGCTGGCAGGTGTCAGTGCAATTTTGCAGGGTATGCAAAGCAGGCAGTCTCTAAATGTCTGAAAATATGTTTATTTCAGCTGTACTTAAAACAACTGGATGTGTAAACATTTGAGTTTGGCCCCGTGGTGCTTTGAGCTAACTCCAGTGGCTGCAGAGAAGTAAACATGGGGCCAGGGCCCAGCGGTGACAGATGCGCCCTTTCCGCCTGGGAGCCACGCCCCAGCCCGAGAGCCCCGCTGCCCACTGCCCCACCCCCCGTGCCTCCTGCACCTGCGGCCTGCTGCTCTCAGCATATGCACTCCTGACTGTGGCCTGGTGGTCCCCAAGGTCACACTGTGTGTACACCACTCCTGCCTCCTTCCCTTCCTCTCTCCCCACTTCAGCACATCTGTTCATTCTTCCCCGCCTGCCCACAGTCAGGCCCCCTGAGGGTCTCCCCGTCCCCAATGTGGCTGGTCTCAATTTCCTCTGGCCATGTCTGCTGGGGACAGCTGCAGCGGACTCAGTTTCTCCAGCTCCTTCTCTCTTATCCTGTCTTCTTCATCCCCCTGATGCATGAGCTCTTGCAGAGACACCTCGCCACTCACAGGCCGCCGTAGCATCTCCTGTCCCTTGTCCTCTGTCCGTCCACTCACCTCCTTGCTGCTCAGACGCTCCCTCCATTGGCTGCAAGCCACCTGCACAGCCGCACAATTGCGTGTGCATTGTCAGCTCCTCAGTCATTTCCTGTCACTGTGACCTAGTCACACATCTGACCCTCCTCACCCGTCCAGAAATGCAGTGCCCTTCATCCACCCAGCACCTCGCCCTGTGTCCGTCCACCTGTCCCCGCTCTTTACTCGGGCCCCACCTTTCGGGCGCCTGCTTCCCTTCTCGCAGGCCGCCTCTCCTCCAGCTAACAAATGCTCATTGGGCCTTTACTGTTTGCCAGGCCCAGCTCCAAGTAAGAGAGCTCTCCCTCTGCCCACTGGGCTTGTTGCCCACCCCCTACACTTCGGCTAGCTGTTAGGGGCGAACAGACCCTCTCCTCTGGGCAGCAGGCACCCTGCAAGCAGGGCCAGCTCTCCCTGTCAGCCCCAAATCCCCAGAGCTTGTGGGCAAGTGGTCTTCGAAGGTGGAGCCCATCCATCAACAAACAGCTTCCCGGCCAGTGGTGAGGCTGGGACCAGCCCTCCACGAGAGACCAGCTGGCCCGCTCTAATCTCTCCCAGTTTTGCTCCTTTCCTCCTCACTGTGGCCCTGTGAGTGCCACTCCTGGTTTATAGACAAGAGGAGCCAGGCAAAGAGAACCGAACGGCTCTCCTGGGGTGGCTGGGCTCTGAACCCAGCTGTGGCACCCACTGATCGCTCCCTGAGGGGTGGAGTGGGACCTCTCAGGGTGAGGGGCTGCTGCTGGAGGAGGCCTGGGGTGGGGGTGGCCCCAGGGACTGTGTCCTGCAGGGGGAGAGCTGCAGAGGCCACAGAGGAAGGGCACTCCATGGCCTAGAGGCCTGAGGTGTGCTTTAGGTGGGAAGTGGACAGAGGCAGGGAGCCGGGGGGGGGGGGGGGGGGGGGGGGGCAAGGGAATCACCTGGTGGCTCTGCCAGGGGAGCTGGTGCCTGCTTGGGCTTGCACAGGAAGCCCAGGAGACCCTCAGTGGTCTTGGGCTTGGGGGAAGCTGCCCCACGGCGGCCAGTGCTCAGGCCCATCACAGCACTAGCTGTGAGCTCCCTGACCCATCTGCACCACGTGCTCTCTTCTAAATGAAAGAGTGGCAGTACCAGCTTCCTAGGCTGAGCGGGGAACTCAGGACACACATGCTCTGAGCGCCCACGGCATCTGTCATTAGGTGGCCTCGCTGGACGCCGTGGTCAGCGTGCTACAGTCGTGGAACCTGAGCCTGACAGAGGCCATGCTGCGGAACACGGAGGCAGAGCGGCAGCGCCGGGCGCAGGAGGCCCGGACAGTGCGCAGGCGGGAGGGGTGGCGGGGAGCGCTGCGGGGGCCGTCTGACCCGGCCGCACCCTCCCCCGCAGCATGAACCTCAAGGTGCAACAGCTGGCCAAGGAACAGCAGCAGTGCCACAAGGAGGTCAGCCACGACCTG